TATATATCGGTGACAGTCTCTATATATCGGTGACAGTCCCTATATATCGGTGACAGTCCCTATATATCGGTGACAGTCTCTATATATCGGTGACAGTCTCTATATATCGGTGACAGTCGCTATATATCGGTGACAGTCCCTATATATCGGTGACAGTCTCTATATATCGGTGACAGTCGCTATATATCGGTGACAGTCCCTATATATCGGTGACAGACGCTGTATATCGGTGACAGTCGCTATATATCGGTGACAGTCCCTATATATCGGTGACAGTCTCTATATATCGGTGACAGTCGCTATATATCGGTGACAGTCGCTATATATCGGTGACAGTCCCTATATATCGGTGACAGTCGCTATATATCGGTGACAGTCTCTATATATCGGTGACAGTCGCTATATATCGGTGACAGTCCCTATATATCGGTGACAGTCTCTATATATCGGTGACAGTCGCTGTATATCGGTGACAGTCGCTGTATATCGGTGACAGTCCCTATATATCGGTGACAGTCTCTATATATCGGTGACAGTCCCTATATAATGGTGACAGTCTCTATATATCGGTGACAGGCCCTATATATCGGTGACAGTCGCTATATAACGGTGACAGGCCCTATATAACGGTGACAGTCTCTATATAACGGTGACAGTCCCTATATATCGTGACAGTCGCTATATATCGGTGACAGTCCCTATATATCGGTGACAGTCTCTATATATCGGTGACAGACCATATATATCGGTGACAGACGCTATATATCGGTGACAGTCGCTATATATCGGTGACAGTCTCTATATATCGGTGACAGTCCCTATATATCGGTGACAGTCGCTATATATCGGTGACAGTCCCTATATATCGGTGACAGACGCTATATATCGGTGACAGTCCCTATATATCGGTGACAGGCCCTATATATCGGTGACAGACGCAATATATCGGTGACAGACGCTATATATCGGTCACAGTCGCTATATATCGGTGACAGTCGCTATATATCGGTGACAGTCCCTATATATCGGTGACAGTCGCTATATATCGGTGACAGTCGCTATATATCGGTGACAGTCTCTATATATCGGTGACAGTCGCTATATATCGGTGACAGTCCCTATATATCGGTGACAGACGCTATATATCGGTGACAGTCCCTATATATCGGTGACAGTCCCTATATATCGGTGACAGTCTCTATATATCGGTGACAGTCGCTATATAACGGTGACAGTCTCTATATATCGGTGACAGTCTCTATATATCGGTGACAGGCCCTATATAACGGTGACAGTCTCTATATATCGGTGACAGTCGCTATATATCGGTGACAGGCCCTATATAACGGTGACAGTCTCTATATATCGGTGACAGTCTCTATATATCGGTGACAGACGCTATATATCGGTGACAGTCTCTATATATCGGTGACAGACCATATATATCGGTGACAGACGCTATATATCGGTGACAGTCTCTATATATCGGTGACAGTCTCTATATATCGGTGACAGACGCTATATATCGGTGACAGTCCCTATATATCGGTGACAGTCTCTATATATCGGTGACAGTCGCTATATATCGGTGACAGTCTCTATATATCGGTGACAGTCGCTGTATATCGGTGACAGTCTCTATATATCGGTGACAGTCCCTATATATCGGTGACAGTCTCTATATATCGGTGACAGTCTCTATATATCGGTGACAGTCCCTATATATCGGTGACAGACGCTATATATCGGTGACAGTCTCTATATATCGGTGACAGTCCCTATATATCGGTGACAGTCTCTATATAACGGTGACAGTCCCTATATATCGGTGACAGTTCCTATATATCGGTGACAGTCTCTATATATCGGTGACAGTCGCTGTATATCGGTGACAGGCCCTATATATCGGTGACAGTCTCTATATAACGGTGACAGTCCCTATATATCGGTGACAGTCCCTATATATCGGTGACAGTCGCTATATATCGGTGACAGTCCCTATATACGGTGACAGTCTCTATATATCGGTGACAGGCCCCTATATATCGGTGACAGTCGCTATATAACGGTGACAGGCCCTATATAACGGTGACAGTCTCTATATAACGGTGACAGTCCCTATATATCGTGACAGTCGCTATATATCGGTGACAGTCCCTATATATCGGTGACAGTCTCTATATATCGGTGACAGACCATATATATCGGTGACAGACGCTATATATCGGTGACAGTCGCTATATATCGGTGACAGTCTCTATATATCGGTCTCTATATATCGGTGACAGTCGCTATATATCGGTGACAGTCTCTATATATCGGTGACAGTCGCTATATATCGGTGACAGTCCCTATATACGGTGACAGACGCTATATATCGGTGACAGTCCCTATATATCGGTGACAGTCGCTATATATCGGTGACAGACGCTATATATCGGTGACAGTCCCTATATATCGGTGACAGTCTATATATCGGTGACAGTCGCTATATATCGGTGACAGTCTCTATATATCGGTGACAGTCGCTATATATCGGTGACAGTCCCTATATATCGGTGACAGACGCTATATATCGGTGACAGTCCCTATATATCGGTGACAGTCCCTATATATCGGTGACAGACGCTATATATCGGTGACAGTCCCTATATATCGGTGACAGTCGCTATATATCGGTGAATGTCGCTGTATATCGGTGATAGTCCCTATATAACGGTGACAGTCACTATATGTAGCGGAGATGCAATATTCCCCAGGATATCTCCGCTTATAGTCCAAGTGAGGCTCAGGAACAAGTAAATAGTAAATCCACAGGCAAGGTTTCCAGCAGGTAAAATAACAGCAATATCCCCACAGCAATCCCAATAACTGGACGACACACAGTTTCAGGAGCAGAACTGAAAGCTTTAATCCACAGTCTCCTTTTAAAGCATGCTCCCATGCAAGGGAGGGATTTACAATCATTATTACAGTAGCCAATCCTGTCCTGGTAACCTCCCACACATCTCCTCCCCTCAGCCAGCATCATAATCCCCTTATCCAGTACAGTAATTCCCCCCGTTTCTGGATGTACCCCTAAACGTAGGGGTACCCCTTTAAATCCTACATCCCCGGATACCCCTGATCTGGGTGAACAACATATCCAAAAATCACCCAGATCAGACCAGGGGTTCGGGAAATGTATGGAGGGAATAAAATGACCGACCGCACTAACTGAGATAGCCGAATAAGGTTCCATGCGAATGGGCCCTGCGGTCGGTCCTGGCATAAGGGAACAAAA